TTATTAGATAAGATTTACGTAAATGTATGAATGGAATCTTATAACTTACCATTCTTTAGTAGTATAAGTAATAGTAGTAGTCAGTCAGTCTTAGTTTCATCAGCTGATCGGACATCTTTGCCTGGCACCTCATTTTCTAACCTCAGTACTGATAACTTAGTCGTTTCGTGATACTTGACCAATATTTTGGAAAGAATTTTGATAGAAAAGCTAGAGTATATGCATGTCTTTCACCTATATAGCTTATGTTTTGTAGTAATGAAGAGTGGGCAGCTATACAGTATACTCGCCCTTTTATTGGCAGATAGAAATTTCACGTAGCTGAGAAAAGAAAGTCCAGCTTGTTCAATCTGGGAAGAGATTTCGTCATGCGCCAACCTTCAAGGTCTGATGAAACTTTCAAGATGAGCAAAGCGGTCGACTCAATCAGCTACTTCACTCCATATTATCAGTCTAAGCAATCAGATAGACCAGTCCTGAAAAACCATTTGCATTTGGTGACAAAGATACTCAATCTAAATTTGCCTGAATCGTAGAAAAACTAGTTCGAGTTGGGTGTTAATACATTTCCACATCATATTTTAGATATTAGTCCAAAAATCATTAATTTAACAATCTTTTTTTTCCTTTCCTTTGACGATAATAGTTTTCAAGACTATTGCTATGTGTTTATGTCTTACATTTTATCCAGTGGTAGCTTTATTTTTAAAAAACGTTTTCAATGTGTTTGTGTACATATCACTGAGAATATCATTCATTCGAAGTGAAACTCAATAGCCATTAGTGTTCAACTTCGCAGTTATTCTTTAAACTGTCAACAGAACATGATACTTGGAAAAAAATTACATAATCAGACTCAAAAGAATCACCGATTTTTGTTGTATAAATTGGTAGTAGTTGCTTTTAAAGCATTCACTGTCACATTATAAATTGGTAAAGAACAAACCAGTCATTAAACTGGACCATGTAAGTTTTAATAGTGAACACTTCACTTGGTTTATAAATTCTTCTCTTCTATAGGATTTTATAATCAACATAATTTCTTTAAATCTCTTTATCTCGTCCAGTTAACTACAAATGAATGCTGGCATAAATGATTATTTCAAAGTGGGTTCTATTTCAAACTCTAGTTGTTTTTTTTTTTAAATATTCAAGTTTATTTACTTAAAATAGTTATAATAACAAACTAGAGACTGTCTACTACACTTTTTTTTGTTTTTTGATGCCCTTTTATCCTTTCTTTTGTTTATTATTTTGACTATTGTTTATGTTTAACTTCAAACCACATAGTTTTTTTTCTTTTACATGTCTATTTATTAATTTCTTTTCTTCCACTATTTGATGTACTTTCTGTTAAGTTTATTTTTCTGTTTCATAATGGGATATTTGACCTTATTGTGTTTACATATATATAATGACAAGAATCAATAACCTGATTGTTGATAGAAATTTACAAATTCACTTTGTTTATCCATGACTTCTATGTATTCATAAACCAAAGAAAAACATTCTGACGACCATAAACAGGTTACTTAACTTTGAAAGTAACGGTTATATTAATAACTGGTAGACAAAATGATAAATGACACTAAATAATTTGTTCGGACGTTAACAGGATGTGAGTTTAGTGCGCATATTAGAGTGAACATCATAAAAGATGTTTACAAGTTAGTTAGCTAGTGCAATAGATACATACTAACTTTTGGCCTTGCTATGTTTGAAGAAATTACGAGTTCACTTAATCTGAGAACGGAACGAAGACCCTGTGACACGATAAATAAATCAGCTAACTATTCTGATGCGTCCCAGGCCCGCTAACTAGAGAGAGAAGTCTAAGTTCTGAAGAGGGAAATATATACCATGAGCAGCTAGAAGTACAAACAACGACGATGACCCTAGTCGGAAATACACTCATTTATATATTGATTCATACATCTATTTTGATTAATAATTAAGATAAAATTACATATATGAACTATTGTTCATAACAAATCATATACTAAGTAGAGTTCATGTTAACTTAATACAAAAATATCGTATTTTATACAGAATAAAATGTCATACAGGAAAACAAAACAAATACTATACTGAGTAATCATCACATTGAATCAAAACGGAATTAATGTCAAATAAAAATCATGATGAGTAAATCAATCTAATGTTGACTTTTCATGTCGTCATGTCACCTTCCCCCTTTTTTTGAAGAGTGGAAATTTAGATCCTGACTTTAAGTTTTCTGACTTTATCCTCCCCCACGAAATAATGTTGGGTCAGGCTTTTTAGTACTTTTAGAGCGATTTGACCTCCTCTTTAAACAAAATACATCGTTGTAACCCACAGATTTAAACTACCTGCAACGATTTTGTTTATAAGGACAGCTTCATATATAATGCCATGCACTGCAATACCAGCATGGAGCAGGAGGATTCGTGTTCTCCTGTTGGACTGAATTCGAGTGAGATGGATTAGGTATAACTGGGGTGGATTTAACCAGGTTAGGTGGTTGTTAGACTACATGTAGTTCAGGGCGATCGGAACCACCACGCTGAACCATCGTAGTATCGTGTTGCAGATTAATTAAACGTTGATATTCACTTGCAATATCATTAGGAGTCAATTTTGTGTCTTGATCTAATCGACACAGCAACCGTATTCTGATTTCATTGAACTTTTGCGATTGGAAACTGTAGGTGAGAATGAGGGCTTTGAAGTAGTCTTCAATCAGCGACTGCAACCGGAAGCGTTCGTATTTGCAGTTGACGGTCCCCATATGCGTCTAAAACTCAGTGTCTTCGTTTATATTCAGCTTCAAACATCGATAGTGCGTGCTGAACAGTGAGAAGTTATCTCCGGACTGTTGGCTCCATGACTGGACGGTGTCCGAGAATCAGCGGACACGTGGGTTTAGAGGCAGAATCAAGTTACGGTATCTATCTAGTACACTCGGACCCAGCTTCCGAAACAGCAAGCGGACCTTCCGAGAGTCATCTTGATTAGCAAAATCAAATTGAAATAAGTCTTCATAATGCCGTGACCAAATATCAAATGTGACATTGAACTCAGGATCGTAATGAAATTCAGAGATACTGCTTGCGATACCATCAGCTGACGGTGCAGTAGTAGTAGAATTAGAAGTGCTCGGTTGTGTGTTAGGCGTAATTTTGAATTAAAACAAAATAATGTTATGTAAAAATCATAATGAGTAAATCAATCTAATTTTGACTTTTCATCCCGTTATATCAGGCCTTCCATTCACACATATACAAGAATTTTGTAAAGTTATTCGTCATTCAATTCAAGGTAGACTATAGAATAAATGAAGTAGTAATTTAAAATTCATCAATTACTACTTCTAGTTACGTTATTCACTAAAGAGAAATGAAATATCAACACTTCTACACTAAGGAGTTGATAGAAGATCATAAGTCTAATCAAAAGTGGATTTTCATAGTTGAAATCATGAGTCAACTGAAGCTAGACCACCATGAAAAACCACCATGGCTTTCTTGTTACTCTTGATGTTCAAAGGCAATCTAAGCCAAGTGACTAATCATAACAACGGTTAAGATACCATGATAAGATAAACAATTACTGCAACATGCAAAGCAAGTTAAAACTGGGAAATACATTAAACAAAAGTTACACAATCCTAAAGAATGAAGTATATCACTGAACCAAGCCTGGATAGGAGGTGGGGCAGAATAGATTCACAGACGGAAAATAAAGAATAAAAGTTAGTGAAGTAGTTTATTGATTCCTGATTGTGGATAGATATCGACACTATGAATGTGTTTGAAATACAAAGAAGGATTATTTTCATGAACACATACATCCTCCACTCTGTTTAAAGTATTTCTTTGAATCCCACAGAAAAGATGGATTGGAGTGAGGATAAATATTTGTTATGTGTAACACGTTGTTACTATGGCTTAGATGTGATTAACCAGAGCTAGTGACTGAATTTGTTTAATCTTAACCAAATCACTTACAACGATTTACATTATTGTGTTAACTAAGTTGTTTAGAGTACGTATGTTCTGACTAACGTCAAAAAATATCCAGCTAAAATGATGAATAATAATATGGAGGTAACAAAACTAGGTAATCTATCCTTTGTTCTAGGAAATTTGATACTGAAGACAAGTTGGAACTCTACAACACCATATCACTTGATAAGAGAGATTTATTTACACATTTCAAGATTAGTTTCCCAAAGTTCAAGAAGGAGGTCATGATCAGTGAAATTACCGGTATTAGGGAAAATAAATAAGGATTATGCTAAACAGCTAAACTACTTTAATACGAATTAGTGTTCTAAAGTTATCTTGATCGCTCACTAAATTTGTATCAAGTCTGAGCAATTTAGATTGAAGTTAAATATAATATAGTGAATGGAAGGTGGATATAACATAATACTATAAAATACCAGAAATATATATACATTATAGTATTAAAGGAAAGACCAGGTGATATATGTTAGTTTCTAAAATAAGGGTCCAACAAACCAATGAAGTTGAATTGGGACGAAACTTAGCTTAAATCCATCTTTAAATAAGACCCAAACACTAGAGATTTCTTACTACATGATTGAGTTATTTATTTGCCTTGCTCTAGAGTTTAGCTTACGAGTTATTCTTTGAAGTAATACAAGTGTTAAGGTACTTTTGGATGTATAAATGTATTTTTAAAGCGTGTACTGCAGAATATCAACTGTATAAAAGTACCCATGGATTAGGCAGTATAAATATTTTTTTTCTTAAATAAAATTTTAATATTGTAAGTATTCATTTATTATTCAGCGGCAGAAAAATGTTTGACTGTAAAGCAAGATAATAACTTTAAATCTGTAGGAATAAAGATAACTAAAACTTTGTAAATGTATCATATTTCTTTTTCCAGCGTTGTTTTGTTGTTGTTGTTCTTATTTACATCAACAACTGTACGGCTATCCTAAGTCACTTTATTTATACTCATCAGTACATATAACAAGCAAACGACTATATGAAAGTAAAGATTTTTCGGAAATGTCATATACATACATGAGTATACTTTACACAGCAACATACATTCATTAATAAAGTTTGTTTTAATGTATCTGTTAGTTTTGTGATAAAAAGAGATTGTTGTTTTAAATTTGTTTTTTTTTCTTTCTTTCTTTTGTGTTCACGTTTCTTTTTAGTGTCATTATTGTGTTTTCAGTTTTTCTTCTTTGTATTACTCTATATTCGTGTTTAATGAAATTGTCTTTTCTTTTCTTTCTTTTTTCTTACAAAAATAGGAGAAACTTTCTTTTATCTCTTCTGTATTGTTTTTTTTTCTTTTGAAACAGCTCACAAATAAATGCACTTAAACACAAAAGAAAATATAACATGAATAATAGTTTAAATAAATTTAGATTTAAATAAATAGCTGTAAGAAATGGATAGTTATATAATGATAGATTATAAACCATTATCAACGTATGTTAGAACAGGAGGAATATGACAGAGTTTCATGAAATGTGATTGATATATAAACGGGCGGTCTGTTTAAACATCTGGACTACCTGTTCCTGTCATCTAGATATTTCAACAAGTTATCTAATTTCGTTTGTTTCAATACATCATTATGCCTATTAATCGCACAACCTATTCAGGTGCGTTTCTGAAAAGTGTAAGACCTTTCGCTGTAAAGGTTACAGAAGGCCTAATTAGAGATATCGTGGTTGCTGGCAATATGCAGAGAGAAGAATGTACATTATCCAGATGTCGATTGACTGGGCTGCTAACTTCTAACTGGCGATCACTCAATATTTATCGTCAGGAAGGACGAGGAAGTAAGAAACGGAAACTTATTGAAGTACTTTGTGCTGAGAATTCTATATTGTACCAAAAATATAATATTGAATAAAGCTAATAATAATAATAATCTACCAAGTTTGACTCATAAGTAGCACGAATTCAGTTTCGTAAAACAGATGGGTGTTTGTTTGCTTTGCGTTCGTTGATTGTCTAGTTGGTTATATATCAGCTTCCAGATAAATTAACAATTTCCTTCTTGATCAGAAGGGATTTCGTGGAGATTTCAGTATTTTCATAGTTGAAATTATGAGTCAATTGAAGCTAGACCACCATGGAAAAAACCTGGATTCGAATCTCGCGAGGCGGGATCGTAGATGCGCACTGCTGAGGAGTCCCATAATTGGATGAAATGGCCGTCCAGGGCTTCCAGGTTTTCCATGGTGGTCTAGCTTCAATTGACTTATGATTTCAATTATGAAAAAAATTTCATTCTTAACGATATCTCATAAATCAATAAATCAACAGCATTAAGTGTTGAAAACATTTGGTTAACTTATCAAAGTAGTATGTTTAGTGAGCCAAGTAGCACATGAGTGATAGAATGTTGCATAAAATGTTTGGATATTTGTTAAAAATTAAATCCTGTTCCAGTCATATGATAATTATAATTATTTGGAATGGTGACTTATCAGCATTTCGTTTGCTTCTTAAAAATAAAGCTAAACAGGTTATAATCTAATAAAAGTTTTAAGTATTAGTCATTAATCTTATCTAAATGGTAGATAATTCTACATTGTTTTAACTAGTCATAGCTTTCATATCAATGTCAGGTGGCTAGATGTCAAGACCTTCAATAAGACAAATGTGTTAATTCATTTCTTACTGGTTCATGATTAGTAAACTTAACTAGGCTCTCTAGATCACTTATATTTGTTGAATGAAATCTGTTGTGAGAACTGTTTTCAAGATTAATAATGCTCCACATTATCACCGGTGGATATCAATTCATTCTGAGTAAATTTCATTTCATAGGTGATCAAAACGGGTAGGCTGAACCAAAATTTACCAACATCTATCAATAACAGTTCATGAAAGAGTAGTTAATTATTAACTAATTTGCTTGAATACTAGAAAATTTTCGCTAACTCGAATCTGACTCAACAAGCTGACAACAACATGCTTGTTTGAAATAAAATGTTCAGTCACACAAGATTTCGAGAAAAGAAGCTTCATAGAAATCTTTTATAAAAACTGGAGGTGTTATCCCATTATTTTGTTTTAGTTATCTGTGGTTTTAAAACGATTTCATTAGGTTTACAAAACCATCTTGAGTTAATTAGTGAATTGAAACTACTTAATAGGAGTTTACTTAAATACATTAGTACGTCTACCACTTGTGAAGTTAAACGCTGATATATCGTTATCAATATCGATAAGTAACAAGCTTTTAATGAGATAGATTATGAAAATAACCATAGAGAAGTGATTATAGTTTAATTGTAATAAGTTTTTAATAGATGTTTATATTATATTTTCATATTTAATCATACATTCAACTTATCAGTTAAAACTATTCGATAGTATTAACAGAATACATTTTTGTGTACAATAAATCAAATAAAGTGTATTTTTTGTGTAGACATGATTAACAATAACTAAAATGTTTATATTTGTAGAGAAGCCTTGATACTATCTTGGGGTACTTGCATAATATACACTTTAATCACTAAAATCAGCTTTCAATATCGACATTCAGTAGATTAAGTTCATTTCATTCATATCATCGGTTAGTTTTCTAGAATAAGCAATGTTATTGGCTTCAAAGCTTCATATAAACTGAAATGTTACTCCTTAATATACTGTTGATATGTTACAAGTTGCAGAGTAATTACGGTTCAACAGAACACTTTTAAACAACACTTTTGTCATTGCTATCTTAATATTTATTAATATTTAAACAATACACTGTTAAGTCAAAATGAAATAGGATATTTTATTAGCAGGTTATAAATTTCTATTTATGGTTCAATAAGTCTCTTGACTAATTAGAAATTATGATGAACATCTGCAGAATACTAGAGACTAACATTTACTATAGAGTTTTTTTAGTAGCTAATGTGTACTGCATTTATTTATTTATTTGAACACATAAATACTGATAAGAAGGGGCACCAAATACATACGCGTCACTGATATTTGCATTAATTTTATAAGTGAAGTAATTGAATGCTAGGAACAATACTTATCTCAGAAACTAGACCGATAGTGGTGAACTAAAACTTGATAAAAAAGAAACTGGTTTGGTATACACTAACTAAAGCTAATTTGGGAGCACTAAGACTAAAAAATTCCGTGACTGCATAGTGACTGTCAGGTTCACTAAAACTAGATACAGCTGGATGGTATCTTTTTTTGGAAAAATCATAACTTTATGAGGTTTAACAAATGATTGTTCAGAATTCACTTAGTATTACTTGTTTGGATCTTCCTACTGATGTTCAGGACTGCAACTGGTCAGTAGCTAAGTGGATAACGCGATGGCGTTTGAAGCCAACGGTACTGGGTTCGAGTCCCAGAGTGAACATCAACTCTGTGATGCAGGTATATTGAGCTGACGAGTCCCAAATAGGACGAAACGCGCGTCCTGGATTCCACTGCTAGCCACTATCAATCTTTGCTTACAATGATTGTTTAGAATGTTTAGCTAGTAGTGGTAATACAAGTCTCAATTATGTAAATGATTTCTTAAAATTCACCTTGTAATAAAAACTTGTAATTATTGTCAGATTATTTTATTTGAGAATTGAGGTTTCCAAAAATATTTCTTAATACTACATGTTCGAAATTTTGTGAAATTGAAATATAAACATTAAATACTAAATAGGGTTTATAACTCATCATAAAGATGAAAAATGTTTATTATTTTCCAGGATTCAGGTTACAACCCAGAAGCATATTTACCATCAACATAATATTTCTTAAACAGAAATAAGCTCTATTATTGTCAGCTAAACAAACAATCAAATATACAAAACACCAAACATCCTTACGTGTAAGTATGTCTTCCTAACTGTAGCATTCTAAGCTGATAACTAAAGAATGTAATAAGATGAATGACAATGATTAGGAAATTTTGTGCTTGATGGTAGTTACCTGAGAGTACAAAGTTAAATTTTAAAATTCTGTAGGAACAGAAAGGCGAAATAATTTGGAAAATTTGAAAAAGTAGTTTAATTCAGAGTTTATGTCGATAGTCAAGGCAGAGAGAATGGGTGTACAAAGTTCTTCTGGGAACGCAAGTTAGATTTTTCCACGTGCATTTCGTCAGCTTCAGCAGTCTTTAAAAGACGAATCGGTATACCATGTAGTAAATTTGATGGATTACTGTAGAAAATCTGAAAAGCATTATTCAAGTCAACCTGATCTTTGGTGTCAAACAACGGGGAGAAAACACAATTCCTAATTACCCTTGACTGTCTTTTGTTCAACAATCCCGGATGGTGTTCTAGGATATGATGAAAGGCTCGGTAAATTGTATGTCCTATATAACTGGCTCCATAGCAGCAGTTGAAGTGACGAATTCAGACAGTTTGCATGTTTTTTTAACTCTTACTATCGGATGGTTATCAAAAAACTTCAATCAGTTTAGCTGCAGTAAAAGCTTTCTCAATAGCTTTGCCTGACATCTCAGTTAATGTTTTGCTGTTAGCGTCACTTTTTAATTATGGTTTCAGGAACAGGAACTTCTTTAGAACAGTTGTTACCGATCGTCTTATTTTTTTCAATCATTTGTAGGATATTTATTATTGCTAAGAAGGTCGCAGATACTATTCATTTGATCTTCAAAGGTGTCCTCAGAGCGAGTGTATTAGCTTTGAAGTATACATATATATATCAATTCTCTAGGAAATCAATGAGATACAAAAGCAGGAAAATTAAACGTCTACATTGAGAATATTTATTCATAAATTCATAGTTTCAGCTAAATTTGTCAATAACATTAATGTTGTAACTGGCTCATAAAAACTCTTCTAACACTTGGAATTGTGTTTAACTTTTCTAATTGTCTTAATTCACCAGTAGAATGTCTAACCAATTTCACTGGATACTTAACTGTTATTGAACAGTTATATTTATTGTTCTATTCATAAACACATTTAGGTTTAGTTACCCATTATAATTTATAGTAATAAGATTTCAGTACGAAAAATATTTTTTTTTAGATACATTGTAATCGGATTATTGGTTAGGTACGGAACACTATTCAATAATTCCCACTTACTGCCTTCTCGTGGTATTACTGTTGTTTACGAAATTGAAAGGACCAAAAGCGAATGTCCGACGCTTTAACTGGGTTGGTGAACACGGAAAGTCCACCTAGGGGAGTTGGAAAACCCTGATTCCAAACCAATGGTGCACATGGGCTCCAGTATCCTAAGGGAACAAATGGCGTATCAAATAATCGCTGGTCACTGGCTACCGTGGGACTGCATCTCCTTACGTTGCTCCACTACCTTGGGGATCAGATCTTTAGGTCAAAGGCTCTGGGTGTGGCCCCCTAAGAA